CTCCCCATGCCAACTTTCAATTCCGGGCTCCGAGGCATGGAGGCGCTAGAACGCCTCAACGAAATGCTCAGAAAAATGGATTGCCCTGGAAAAAACTACCTGTGTTAATGCTAACCGTGTTCTCAGAAATGGCTCGACTTGTTTTTGGTGAAAGTTTACAAAAAAAATTCAACCCAAGGCAGAGCCTGAGCATGGAAAGTTCATCCCCGGCAGTCCCAGTGTGGGAACGATAGAAGCGATCGTGAATGGGGTTTTCATGAGACATGCTCAGCAACCCCAACGTTCTTCTCATTTGCATTGCAGTAGTGGGGTCGCTGCCAGAACCCACTTTAACGAACTCATTTCTCAGCAAGCTCCTCCCCCCTGCTCCTGCCAGGGCTTTCCCAGCATCCCGGCTACTGCACCAACACCGACCCCCAGAGGGGTCCCACCCCCTGCCGTGTAACCAATGCAAGGGGCCTCCTGGCTTGTCTGAGCCTTTGCCAGGCAGCATCCTCTGACTCAAGCTGCAACAACCTGTCAGAGGCTCGAATCCAGCAGCTGGGAGTGGTGGGTAAATATTGTCCTGGCTGCATCCCCAGCCCCAGCCAGAGACCTGACACGTCCCTTGTTTACCCCGGATCAAAGCGAAGCTCCGGCTCCAGAGTGTATATCAGGGCAGAGCAGGCTGGTCTCCAGCACAGAGCGGGGGGAGAGAGGGAGGAAGAAGGACCCGGGGGGGTGACGTGTGTGTGTCCCCTTGTGCCTGCCCATCTGCCTGCACCCCAGGAATGGGGGCCCCAGTAACCCCGTCCTGCCTGCTGCTCCTCCTGCACCTCACAGCTGGGACATCTGCAGAGCCGTAAGCCCTGTCCGTGTCTGTCTGTCTGTCCGCATGGTGGGCGGTGCAGGGGGGTTGGAAGCAGCCGAAGGCACCGATGAGGGGGCTGCTCAATCCGAAACTGATGGGACAGGTCCGCTCTCCCCTGGGAGCTCAGCCCTGATGCTGGGTCCCTCCTGGGACCTCCTGGTGCTGCCCCTCCCAGTGGCGGGGGAGGGTGGCTCTGGTTAAGGCAGTGGCTTGGGGGGCAGGAGAGCTGGGTTCAGTGCCCAGCTCTGCCACAGATGCCCTGTGCGCCCCCGGCCAGACACCGACACTCTGAGCCTCAGCTCCCCTGTACCATGGGGTGATGATCCTCTGTGGCCGCCTGCTCCCGTCATCCTGTCACCTCCTCGGACTGCAGCCTGTCTCTGCCTGTGAGTCTGTCCAGCCCCAGTGCAGGGGGCCCTGCTGGGGTAGGCCTCTAGGCACCAGTGAAATAGAACAGTAATTACTGATGAACCCAGTGCGTTAAACGAACGTCTTAGCCAAAACAGGACAGTGCCCCAAAGGTGCAAAAGCTGAAGGGTTCCTGCGAGAGCCCGTGGAGGCCCCGGGGTGCAGATTGGTCTAGGGGTGGGGGTGGGGCTGTATCTAAGCTAGTAATTGGCTGCAAAGGGCTCAGGTGCTCAGTACAGACCCAGACTAACCAGCCTCCCCCCGCCGTGCACAGGGGTCTCTGCTCACTCTCAGCGCCACTAGCTGCCCCCTTCTGGGCAGACCGAGCACCTGAGAGGCCGGAGATGGAGGGGGACTGAGCCCCTCTGTGCGCCCCCGGGACCCCTCCAGCTCTGCGGGAGGCAGGCTGGGGTGGGGGATGTAGAGGAGGGGCCTTGCCCTGCCCCTGCCCTGTGGTTAGAGAAACGAATCAGCCTCCAGCACCGTCAACCCAGCTTTGGCCCAAGAAGGAGGGACACTCAGAAAGCGGGAGTCACCCCTGGTCTTGGGGGAGGCTCTGGGCTGTCCCCTCCCATCCCCCTTCCCCACTGCCCCTGGTGCTTTCCCCTCCTCAGGCACTATGTGGTGGTGAGCCCAGCCGAGCTCTACCACCCGCACACGGGGACGGTGTCAGTTCATCTCAGCGACCTCAACGAGACCGTCCGGGTGAGCGTCCGGCTGGAGAGGGGGGATGAGCTCAGCGCTATCACCCTGCTGGAGAGAGAGGTCCAGGAGCCCCGTCTGCACGAGAACGTGCGCTTCCAGGTGAGCCCCCGCCCGCAGCCATTGGCACGGCCCCGGGCGCTGGCTATGGGCCCAGAGCCCGTCAGCCCCGGGTCTGCAGCCCCAGCCCAGCCTCAGGCCCCAGGCACAGCAGGGCTCAGGGGACTGGCCATGGGCATGGAGCTGGTCACTCAATGGGCAGCTGTAGCCACAGAACTCGAGCCCATCTCTCAGCAGCGACAGGCAGGAGGGAGCGGGGATGGGGTGGGGGGTACAGAGAGCACCCTGGCTTCCAACTCCATCGAACGCCCCAGGTTCATGCTCTCTCCCATTCAGGGCCCCCAGGCTGGGGAGGGTGGTTCCTGTGTTTTGGGGGGGCTGGAACAGGGACTCACAAACACCACTGCCCCCCCATGTGATAGCGGATCTGCACCACGATCGGCTGGTTACTGGCCGCTGTGGCCTTGCTGGGGTTTCCCGTGTGCAGGTTCCAGCACTGTCCAGGGGGCAACAGGAAGTGGCAGAGCTGCACGTCTCGATCCGGGGAGATGCCCTGCAGTTCTCTGAACGGAAGAAAGTGCTGCTGCGGGCGCTGCAGCCCGGGACCTTTGTGCAGACGGACAAGGCCGTCTACAAGCCGGGACAAACAGGTGAGATGGCAGGTGCTGCTGGAGCGATTTTCTTAGGGCCCCAGGCCCTTGGGACAGATTCCCGGGCTCTGGGGATGGGATGGGGGCCTAGCGAGGGATTTGGGACTCTCACTTCTAGGCCCCTATCTGCACCCTGCCCCAGGGGAGAAGAGGCCCAAAGCCAGAGGCCTGTTTGGGGGGCTATATGGAACCAAGTGGGGGTCTCAGCCTGTCCTTGGTGATCGACAAAGTCCTGGCTGGGATGATTTGATTTTGGATTGGTCCTGCTTTGTGCAGGGGGTTGGACTTGATGACCAACTGAGGTCCCTTCCAACCCTGATATTTTATGATTCTATGAAAAAAGAACAGGAGTTCTTGTGGCACCTTAGAGACTAACAAATTTATTTGAGCATAAGCTTTTGTGGGCTACAGCCCACTTCATCGGTTGCATAGAATGGAACATATAGTGAGGAGATATATATACATACAGAGAACATGAACAGGTGGGAGTTGCCCTACCAACTCTACGAGGCTAATTAATTAAGATGAGCTGTTATCAGCAGGAGAAAAAACTTGTGTAGTGATAATCCAGATAGCCCATTTCAGACAGTTTGACAAGAAGGTGTGAGGATACTTAACATGGGGAAATAGATTCAATGTGTGTAATGACTCAGCCATTCCCAGTCTCTGTTTAAGCCTAAATTGTTGGTATGTAGTTTGTATATTAATTCAAGTTCATCATTCTCTCCTTGGAGTCTGTTTTTGAAGCTTTTTTGTTGCAAAATTGTCACCTTTAAGTCTGTTATTGAGTGACCAGAGGGGTTGACGTGTTCTCCTACTGGTTTTTGAATGTTATGATTCCTGATGTCAGATTTGTGTCCATTTATTCTTTTGTGTAGGGACAGTCCGGTTTGGCCAATGTACGTGGCAGAGGGGCATTGCTGGCACATGATGGCATATATCACATTGGTAAATGTGCAGGTGAACGAGCCCCTGATGGCGTGGCTGATGTGATTAAGTCCTATGATGGTGTCACTTGAATAGATATATGGACAAAGTTGGCAACGGGGTTTGTTGCAGGGTTTGGTTCCTGGGTTAGTGTTTTTGTGGTGTGGTGTGTGGTTGCTGGTGAGTATTTGCTTCAGGTTGGGGGGCTGTCTGTAAGCGAGGACAGGTCTGTCTCCCAAGATCTCTGGGAGTGAGGGATCATCTTTCAGGATAGGTTGTAGATCTTCAATGATGTGTTGGAGAGGTTTTAGTTGGGGGCTGAAGGTGACGGTTAGTGGCGTTCTGTTATTTTCTTTGTTGGGCCTGTCCTGTAGTAGGTGACTTCTGGGTACTCTGCTGGCTCTGTCAATCTGTTTTTTCACTTCAGCAGGTGGGTATTGTAGTTTTAAGAACACTTGATAGAGATCTTGTAGGTGTTTGTCTCCTGTCTGAGGGATTGGAGCAAATGTGGTTGTATCTTAGAGCTTGGCTGTAGACAATGGATCGTGTGGTGTGTCCTGGATGAAAGCTGGAGTCATGTAGGTAAGTATAGCGGTCAGTAGGTTTCTGGTATAGGATGGTGTTTATGTGACCATCGCTTATTAGCACAGTAGTGTCAAGGAAATGGACCATTTGTGTGGATTGGTCTAGGCTGAGGTTGATGGTGGGATGGAAATTGTTAAAATCATGGTGGAATTCCTTGAGGGCTTCTTTCCATGGGTCCAGATGATGAAGATGTCATCAATGTAGCGCAAGTAGAGTAGGGGTGTTAGGGGACGAGAGCTGAGGAAGCGTTGTTCTAAGTCAGCCATAAAAATGTTGGCATACTGTGGGGCCATGCGGGTACCCATAGCAGTGCCGCTGACTTGAAGATATACATTGTCCCCAAATGTGAAATAGTTGTGGGTGAGGACAAAGTCACAAAATTCAGCCACCAGGTTTGCCATGACATTATCGGGGATACTGTTCCTGATGGCTTGTAGTCCATCTTTGTGTGGAATGTTGGTGGAGAAAGCTTCTACATCCATAGTGGCCAGGATGGTGTTTTCTGGAAGATCACCAATGGATTGTAGTTTCCTCAGGAAGTCAGTGGTGTCTCAAAGATAGCTAGGAGTGCTGGTAGCGTAGGGCCTGAGGAGAGAGTCTACATAGCCAGACAATCCTGCTGTCAGGGTGCCAATGCCTGAGATGATGTGGCGTCCAGGATTCCCAGGTTTATGCATTTTGGATAGCAGGTAGAATACCCCTGGTCGGGGCTCTAGGGGAGTGTCAGTGTAGATTTGTTCCTGTGCTTCTTTAGGGAGTTTCTTGAGCAGATGGTGTAATTTCTTTTGGTAACCCTCAGTTGGATCAGAGGATCATGGCCTGTAGACTGTGGTGTTAGAGAGCTGCCTGGAGACCTCTTGTTCATATTCCAACTTATTCATGATGATGACAGCACCTCCTTTGTCAGCCTTTTTGATTATGATGTCAGAGTTGTTCCTGAGGCAGTTCATGCAGTTGTGTTGAGCACCCATTGGCCTCCCCTGGAGGCCTCCAGCCACTCAGGGCAGGCCCGTGGCTCATTGGCAGAGGGCAGCATGGGGAAGCTGGTGCTGCGCTGCCCGGGCTGGGCCCATTCTGCGGGTTCACAGAGGCCATCACTGCCCGGGGCATCCGGCTGGCACCTTCCCCAGCTGGGAATTCACTCACACAAACCAAGCCAGGGCTGATTCCCGCCTCTGCCTCTGCTCCTTTCCAGTGAAGTTTCGAATCGTCAGTTTGGACAAAGACTTCGTTCCCAGTACCCGGAAGGTGAGAGCTGGAGGTGGGGGGTGGGGGCAGGGTACCAGGGCCCTGGTGCACTGAACACGTTAGGTTTGTCTACACCAGACAGGCCATTCATCTGGTTTGAAATCGGACAGTCCTCTCCTTGGGTGGTTTGCCCCCATCCAGTACATGCTTGTGTCTGGTATTGGATGGGGGGCACCATTTGGAAGAGCGCACTGCTCTGCCCCTGCTGGCGTGAACTCACACACACCAAGTGTGCGAGGTCACGCCAGCGAGGACAGGCCCACACCATTCCTGGAAATCCCAGGATCTCTGGTATTCTGGGAATGCCTCAGCGGCCACCCTGGTCTTCACTGCTGCAGGGGGCGAGTCTCCCAGGGCAGGTTAACAGAGTTGCAGTAGCAGGGCTTGTGCTGGCCTGCTGAAAACAGCCGTGTGGAGCAGCCCCCTGAGCTACAGAGCCTAGCGCCTTGGGCAGTGGCCTCTGTTGGTTGCAGTCTCTTGACTGCGCAGAGAGGATTGATTGCACATTGCATGGAGCCGGAATGAGGGCGCTGGGCACCCACTGGCTTTAGTGCAGTCTGTGATTGGCTGTGGATGCCAGCCCCCTCTCCCGGGATGACAGTCATTAGCACCTTTCAGCCTAACCGTGCTGTGCGCTCTGAGTGAGGTGGCAGAATCGGGCCCAGTGTTTAAATACAGATTCACAGCTCCCCTCCCAGCCATCTCGCCTGGGCACTGGCTGCAACGCAGACCCCCCGGCCCTTAGACTGCCCCTTGACAGAGACCCCAGCCTCCCGCCCCGCTCCT